CCTTCCAACAACTTCCCCGGGCCAATCATCACTGACATCATCGGAGCCCACCAAACTGAGACTCACCCACACGCGCATGCACTTGCACACATAGCATCAAAAATCAACAAGTAAGCTCGGGGCATAGCTTGATCACGAAGTTACACAAACGTATCCAGAGAACACAGCAAACAAACTCTGATTCTGAATCTTTACCAAAAACATCAACGGGACAACGGACTGGATTTTCTCAGAATGTCCAGAGTTCTTGCACAGCACAAAACAAAAACGATGCTGCAAACGTAACAGCTCCCCAAACAAAACACGCAAAGATAAAGAAAAAAAAATGTTTGGTGGTATTCCCTGCTATTTTCTTGCACGCGGGTTTTCGTCTGCTCTCAGGCTCTTCTTTTTCTTATTGTGAAAGAAGAGGCATATGATAGGGCAGTTCCTTATGCGTTTTCTTTCTTTTGTGCGTTTTTTTTTTTCTGTTTTTGCGGGCGAAGCCGCAACGGGTCATCCAGTAATACTAAAATGACAATGAAAAAAGGCCTGAAAGGCTGTTCTGTCCAGTTTCTGCAAGTAACTGAATTGGTTGGGCTTCAAAGAAATAAAACACGGGGCTCGGGGCAGGGTTGGAGGCCAACGAAATAAAAAAGAAGAACGAAAAAAAGCAAGAGTTTCAAATCCAGGGACGTCGGGAAAGGCCCTCACGAGGGTGGAAGTTGCAGAGGCCGTTGAGGAATGTATCTGGCCACATATGAGTTTGCTTTTCTGTTTTGTTTTGTTTTTGTTCCCATGTTGTTTTCATGCCCCGCCAGCCAGGCAGGGCGTGTTTCATGGATGGCACATGACTATCTGAATGGTGTAGCATCCTGTATCCGCCCTCAATCACAGCATAAGGGAGCTTTTTTTTTTTTTTTTTTTTTTTCCGTTGTTTGTCGGAACTTTGTTCCCTACACGCCCTCACTGAGGGCACAGTCACACAAGCACCTTTTAGAATGTATCTGGTGGTTATCGAGGCGATTGGGACGTTTGCTCTTTTTCTTTTTCTCCTTCTTTTTTTTTCCCCTTGTTCCTTCTTGGATGAAACTGCCCCGGCTCAGCAAAACTCGGTGCGCAGTGAAAATCAGGCTCGGCAAAAATACGATTGGAGGAAGTGGTGGTTAAAAAAAAAAAAAAAAAAAAAAAGAGAGAGACAGGCTTTTATTATTTTTTTAACATAAAATTTTAAATTTGCCCCCCAAACCCTGATTTCAGTTCCACACCCCGTTAACCCAAGAGCTGAAAAGTGTGGGTCCCAAGAGCTGAAAAGTGTGGGTCCCCGTTAACCACTTGTGCAGGCCTGATGCAGTTGGGAAACAAACTGTGTTTGGAAGCAGGCATCGGTGCTGACCATACTTGCGGCGCCCTGGTGCGGTGCGCTGTGGGGTGTGGTGCGCTGTGCGCAGCGCGGCGAAGTTTCGATGAGCGCACTGTGCGCTGTGCGCACAGGGCCTCGGGACCTGTGCCCACAGTGCGCCGATTCAGTGAAGACCACGCATTTTTCGAGCACAGGTTGGGCCTGTGTAGTGTTAAACTCTGTTTTATTTTCTTCCTCTACTTTTTTTTCTTCCTGTTTCTTTTTTTTTTTTTTTTTTTTTTTGTGATTCGAACGGTTGAAAGGGGGGGGGGTGTCCCACTCACCTGCATTTGGAGTGCGAAGACGAAACATGGCAGCAGGCATTCATTGCATTCATGCAATCGAGCGGCGGTATGGCATCACAAAAACACAGAAAACAAACTTTGAACAATCGATGATGCACCACACACAGCAAAGAATGAGAAAGACAACAGAAAAATTGACAAAAAGTTAAAAACTTATATAAAAAAGATCCACAAGTTCAAAATTCGAATTGCTTAGTAACTTCAGTTTGTCCGCCAAAACAGCACAGCGGGTGCACCCTACACCGCCTGTTCCCCTTCTTCCTCGCTCTCCTCCGGCTGCACCTCACCCTCACCACCTTCTTCCTCGTCACTCTCCTCCGTTCCTTCCCCCCCCCCACCGGAATCAGATGTGTCACTTGAGCTGGAAGAAGTCGATGTTGAGCCTTTGAGCTCTTCGTCTCCCCGGATGTCTTCCGGGATATCATCATCGTCGTCATCATTTATGATGGTGGCTCTCTTCATCTTCCCAGCGGCAGCGTTCTTCGCGTCGGCTTTGGCCGCTGCTCCGGCTTTGGCCGCATCGTCTTTGACCGCAGCAGCTTTTGCTGCGGCAGCGTCAGCTGCTGCCTTGGCGGCCTTCTCTTCCGCCTTTCGTGCCCTGCGTTCTGCCTGCTCCGCCAATGTGGGACGGCCCCTCTTCGGCTGTGGCTGTTGTTGCTCGACAGCCTTCCTTTTGCCACACTGCACGGGCGCGTTGCCATCAACCTTCTGTTTGCCCTTGTTTGTGCGCCTCCTCCGTGGTCCCTCCTCCCGACCCTCCACCCATGTGCCCGCCCGTCGAGCTGCCAATGCAAGAGCATAGCCCTCCTCCGTATACAACTCCTGAGGCACAGGCAGCTCGCTGCCTGATCTCCTGCGCAACTCACGCTCACGGTATTTCCCAGGCTTCGTGCACTCGTGCCAATCGCGCTCCCGTGTACCGACGAGAACAGAGTCCTCCTCACACAGCCTCTCGTCAACCTCGTCATTGAACTGGAAGGTGCGCCGCAGTGGAAACTCGTCTTCCTCGTCTTTGACGTCCGCCACAACTGCCTCTTCTTCTTCCACCTCTCCGTGGACACGCTTCAGCCAATCTGCGTACCACTCCTCCATCTCCTTGTCCACTGGGCCGTCATCCGCCCATGGGATGTGGAATTCATCCCCCCCGCCGCGCCGAATGCTCTTCAGAAGGCGGACATTCCAACTGTTGTACACGAGCTTGGCCATCCTCTCCGGCATGAGCTTCGTGCGCCTTCTCCCGTAGATGAGCTCATGCAAGCTCCAGTTCCGCTCACAAGCAGCGGAGGAGCTTGCCTGGCCAAGCAATTTGATGACTTGCGGTGCAAGGAGGTCGTGTTTGGAGCCAAAAGCCTCCCACCACAAAGCTGGTGGCTGCTGGCTTGCTTGCTCGCGTGCCTCCTCTGTGGAAAACCCTCCTAAAGCGTTGACCCACTGGTCAACCTGGAAGCTCACTTCCTTGAGCTTATCTCGTGGCATCCAGGGGTATAGCCAGATGTTGAATCCTGTGCGAACCTCCGGGTCGCGCTGCGCGTTCTGCATTCGGTGCTCAGGATCCAGGAAGGCTGCAGCGCGATGCAGCTCGCTGGTCATGAATGACCAGCGGTCCATGAGGATGCGCTCCACCGCCTCTGCTCCTCACTTGAGAGGCACTCGAGGGCACGCATGCGCTGAACAAACCGATCCATTTTGAAGTACACCTTCGAAATGGTCGGTCCTTGTCCATCCACCAGCCGAAGCAGCTCCACCACGGGCTGCATCACATCGAGCGCCTTGTTGAGGTTGTTCCAAAACTCGCCCTTGTCTAGAATGATGGCCGTCACCTCGTTGAACGCCACTAACTGCTCTGCCCGTACCATCTTCTCCACCCATCCCACATCACAAACGCAGCGATCCAGTGCATTCTTCAGTTCCTTCAAAGACCCGAGCATCGTGAAGTTGGTGGCAAATCTGGTTGCCGCAGGGCGCTTCAACTTCGTCTTCGGTGAGTAGTTGTGGAACATGGCCCTCGCCTTGTCCACATTCGTGAAAAACTTGCCGACCTTGTTCCCAGCGTCAACCACCTCCGCCATCCAAGGCATGTGCTTATACATGTCCTCCAGCGCAAGATCAAGCGCATGCGCAGTGCATCCGACGCGAAAGATGTTCGGATAGGCAGCCTCCACCATCTTCCCTGCCTTGACGCACACCCTTGCGTTGTCCATGACGACACCGACGACTGTGTCCGCTCCTATCTCTTTGATGACCCCATCCAAAGACTTCCAAAAGACCGTACCGACTGGCGTCCTTCTCCTTGCCCTCCATGCACACTGACTTCCAAAAGACCGTACCGACTGCCGAGGACACTATGACATTCAGATGGGGCACCCGCCCATCTACAGCATACACCCGGACTTCTTCCACTTCGGGATCAGTGAACGCACCTCCGCCCCAACCCATGCGTAGTCAGCGTCCAACCGTTTCGTCCTTTGCTCATCCCTTCTGCACGGCATCCACGCCGAATGGGCCTTCTTCACCGCGTCAATGAACTCCAGGAAGTACTCATCCTCCACCAAACTGAACGACTGGTTTGTGCAGATCAGAAACCTGTCGAGAAACCGACTCGTCCGCTCTTCCTCGATCAATGTATGCCGCAAAGGTCCCTTAGGAACTGGCTTCGATGCCTTCGATCCATGAAATGTGCCTGCAGTCGATTGAGGCGTGGGTGTTTCGTCGCTGATGCCAGCTGCACCCACCTGTGAGCTACGAACCTGAGGGACGTTTTCAGCGGCGGTTTGCGAATTGCTGGGGCCGGACCCTGATGCCTCTCCGTGCAACAGCACGCGAGCAAGCCACTCCCCCTGACTTATCCCCTCTTCCCTCCTCGTCCTCTCCTCCACCGACATTTCCGTCATGCAATAGTCAAGGCTGCCCTTTTCGACGAAGTATTTCGAGAGTTTCGTCGCAGTCCCACTGAAACGCTGCTCGCAGTACTTGCACTTCCACCGCTTCGATCCCTTGAATGCATGTTTCCCCGCCATGCCCTCCACGATGAAGTGCAGCTTCATCTGGTCTGTGAGATGCTTGGCTGACATCTTGCCCTGCATGACGCCGGCAAAACACACAGCAAATAGGGATCTCAGCCCTCTTAGACACCCTCTCTCCGCATACACAGAACGTGAGGAAGATGAAGAGGAGGAGGAGAAGGAAGAGGAGGAGGAGGAAGAAGAGGAGGAGGAGGAGGAGGAGGAGGAGGAAGAAGATGAGGAGGAATAGGAGGAGGAGGAGGAGGAAGAGGAGGAGGATTAGGAGGAGGGAAGAATAACTGCGTTGGAATAGCCGAACCAAAAAAATAAAAATAAAAAAATCTGCCACGTGGCGCGTTAACATTAGAGGAGGGTGAGGAGGAGGAGGAGGAAGAAGAGGAGGAGGAGGAGGAGGAGGAGGAGGAAGAAGATGAGGAGGGATAGGAGGAGGTGGAATAGGA